TCTTTCCTTTTTCTTCCCTACTTCCTTTTTTGAGGGTTTCTAATGGCGGTGCAAGCAAACCAGTTGTCTCCATGTTATCCTTTGTAAGTTATTGGTTGCTACTCTGCACAGCTGAAGGAATTCCTAAGAGGAGCAGCTGGAGCTCCTTTTTTCTTTTTGGGTGGGAGAGTGCTGTCTTACCCCAGCAGGCCCTTGCCTAACCGCTCATCTTCTCTTTCCCAGGTGGCTGACCCAGTTGTCACATTTTGTGAGACAGTGGTAGAAACTTCTTCCCTCAAGTGTTTTGCTGAAACACCTAATAAGAAGTAAGTGGGGCGGTGCATATCTCCTCATGTGGACACTAATATCTTCAGCTTGCATGCAAGCACAGTTTTGCCTCCTGCCACATAGGAGAGAAGGCAGGACTCTAAAGTTGTGATTTTGGCAAGAGTCGGTATCCCCATCTCCTTCAGCGCCTGTGCCCATGGGCAAATTTCTGTGTTCTCTCCTCTGTTCCTTTATGCTTTCCTACTGTCTTACGGTGATTTTAAGGATTTACCCAGAACCTACTTTTAAAAACAAGTGATTTCAGAAGTAGGGAGCAGATCAAAATATATGTTTGACTGTTAGTATTGTTTTCTCCTTTCATACCCTTTAGTTTCTCATTGGTCTGTAATCATTTTTTGCCACTCAGTTTATATCACCAAGTTTCTTTCATTCCCTTTTACTCAGAGAGTAACCCTTCTCCTGGCTTTGTTTTGATTTTTCCATATTAACCCATTTTTTTTCTGCACAGGAACAAAATCACCATGATTGCTGAGCCTCTTGAGAAGGGTCTGGCAGAGGACATAGAGAATGAAGTGGTACAGATCACTTGGAACAGGTGGGAACGGGATTTTGTTCCAGAATTGATGGGGGAATGGATAAAGGGCAGGCAGCAGAGGGAAGTAGCTCCCCTGTTATCTCTATCAATACTGACCTCCTGGGGAAGGTGTTAGTATAGTCAGAGGAGTGCTCTATCAGCATCCCCCTGCTGTTACCCCTATAATCTACCCATGTATAGGGAAGAGGATAAGGAAGACTGATAATCCTCCTGAGAAAGACCACTGAAAATTGGTATTATCAAAAAGGCCAGTTGCAATGGAGCCATCCCTAACACCTCCATTTTCTCCTCCTCCTACCAGGAAGAAGTTAGGCGAGTTCTTCCAGACAAAGTATGACTGGGATTTGCTGGCTGCCCGTTCCATCTGGGCCTTTGGCCCTGATGCCACTGGCCCCAACATCCTAGTGGACGACACTTTGCCCTCAGAGGTACGGGGGAACTGGTGGGTGGTTTACTCATGGTTGCTAAGTGGGGAGGGGGGCAGATCTTGATGAGAAGACATTGAAAATGTTCTCTCAATTCCTTGAAGAGCTTTGAGATCTTCTTATGAAATAGAAGGCCTCTCCCACGTTTATCTCTCTTTTCTTGTTCTCCTTTAAGACTACTGGTCCCTTGAACAATGGTAAGAGTTGTGGCTGAGATGCCTTCATGTTTCTCTACAGGTGGATAAAGCTCTGCTGGGCTCAGTGAAGGATAGCATTGTCCAAGGTTTCCAGTGGGGCACCAGAGAAGGGCCCCTCTGTGATGAGCGTAAGTTCACTAATTACTTGTAGAGGCCTCTCACCTGGCAATAGGGAATACTGTCATCTCACCACCTCTGAGATCTGGGCAGTGGACCAGATTGAAAAGCAGAGACAGACCTATACCCTGCTCCAAACTCCCTCATTCATTCTATACTAAGTGCCTTCACCTGGCACAGGCTAGAATTAGATGTACCTTGTGTCTCCAGATCCAGAAGATGCCCTTCAGGTCTGCTGAAAGGAGGGAGGTCAAGCTTTGGTCCTGGATGGAGAGAAATAGCCAGTTAAACTTGTACAAAGAAGCAGGCCACAGTAGTTGGGCTTGCCAGACTGTTGGAGAGGATGTAATCTCTGATTCAGGCCTGAAACAGATACTGGCCATCTATCTGAAACCCTGGCATAGCTTTGCAGAATTCCCAATGGGCAGTAATTATTCTGCTTTATTTCTCACTTGAACCACCACTGTGTTTCTCATCTTTTGGCTTCTTCATCTCATGCTCCACCCATTTCTCTTCATTCCCAGTGATCCGAAACGTGAAGTTCAAGATCCTGGATGCAGTTGTTGCCCAGGAACCACTGCACCGGGGAGGAGGCCAGATCATTCCCACTGCTAGGAGGGTTGTGTATTCTGCCTTCCTTATGGTATGGAGCAGGCATAATGGAGTTGTGGTTACTTCATTGGCAAGGGTGAGGGGGTGGTGGCAATGCCTTGTCCATCTCTAAAAGACAATTAACCCAAACAACAATTGAGAATATCTGTGGAGAGCTGAACCCTTGGGAGACTCCATGCTCCTGCCTTCCACTTTGGCCTTGCCCATCCATTTTCTCTGGTTTCCTTCTTCACCTCTTCCCAAGCTGAGGGCTTCTTTCTTTTGCCTTGTTGCAGGCTACCCCTCGTCTAATGGAGCCCTACTACTTTGTGGAAGTTCAAGCCCCTGCAGACTGTGTCTCTGCGGTCTACACTGTCTTGGCAAGGCGCAGGTGAGCAAATCTAGCATCCTAGGTATAGACTCAGTGTGAGAGGTGATCCAGCTTTAAGTGAAGAAGGAGGAAGAGGAATCATTTTGCCCCACTCAAGACCAAGCATGCTGAGCTAATTTCCCCAAAGGAGTAATCAACAGGGGCTCCCAAGCAAAGGGTGTCTTGCTTTCCCAGCTGCCTATAAAGAGAAGTCCTTATTGACCTTTTGCCGCCTTAGTTCTTGGTCGTCTCTAGAGAGGGACCCTTAACCACTAGTTTGGGGAATGGTGGAAGATGAAGAATGTCTTTCAGACGAAGGCCTCTGACCCTAATTCCAGCTGAACTCCCACTCTTACTCCTTGTCTAAAGAAGATTGTCTTATGGTCCTGGGAGGAGCACACTGAGAGCACTCTACTTAATGTCTAATATCTGTTTTCTTTTTTTTTTAAGATGATAGCTTTGGTTTGGGGTAGATTTAAGGTTGGCCAGTGGTTAGTGCTTGCTTGACCATCTTTCCAGGGCATGGGGCTCAACTTTTGTCTGTCTGTCTCAGAGGCCATGTGACACAGGATGCACCTATCCCAGGCTCTCCACTCTATACCATCAAGGCCTTCATCCCAGCTATTGACTCATTTGGTTTTGAAACTGACCTCCGGACCCACACCCAGGGACAAGCCTTCTCTCTGTCTGTTTTCCACCACTGGCAGGTGAGGTTTAGGGGAAGGTGAGACATTTCCAGGGCTCTGGTAAGATGGATTACACCCCAGGACATGGGAGCCTTCCCATTCTTATATATGGTCTGTGTTTTAGATTGTACCTGGTGACCCATTGGATAAAAGCATTGTCATCCGTCCCCTGGAGCCACAGCCAGCCCCTCACCTGGCCCGGGAGTTCATGATCAAGACCCGTCGTAGGAAGGTACATGTTCCCTTTCCCCCATCCTGCACTCAGTGTTCTCACTAAAAGTCAGTCTCCATTCTTAGGGATTCCTCTCCCAGTGGACCACTAGGTAAAGCGGTATTCGTGGTATGTGGGATTTCTACACTTTCCTAACAGCTGCAGGCACTGGGAGATACTTTCTTACTGGGATGGGAGGGACACAGAAAAGTCCTTCCCTTTCCCTGTGAGAAATCATTGCTCTTTCTGAAACGGGCAGCTTTGTCCAGAGTTTTGTGTCAGCCCAGCTTACGTTGCACCCTTCCCCCCTCGCTGCTAGAGCACAGACCAGCTTTTCCCCAGGTCTCATTCTGGCCTTTCCTTCCCCAACCTTAGGGTCTGAGTGAGGATGTGAGCATCAGCAAGTTCTTCGATGATCCCATGTTGTTGGAGCTCGCCAAGCAGGATGTGGTTCTCAACTACCCCATGTGAGTTGGGGGGATGCTCCTGGCAGCTCCCCATACTCGGTCATGGGCAGCGCTTCCTGGACAGCAAAGCCTGGGAGGCCCAACTTTGGTGTGTTGGACCAAGTGGCTTTGTCTTTGCAGTTGCTGATGGCGGGATAGGGGGAGAAAAGAAATGGTATCAACTTTTTCAACAGCCAGTAAACTGTCTCTACGGACTGTCCAGGAAGGGAGGAACACTTGACCTCTTAGGTCTTTCCATGGCTTCTGCTTATTAGCTCTATTCCTCAGGGAGTGAAGGAGGGGGTGAAGCTCAAACCTCAAGGGGGAAGAAGAGAAGGAAAATGTCTGACCTTGAGAAGCCCTGTCCTGGGATTTAGATGGAATTTTATTTTTACAAGTTTGACCCTAAACATTGTTTGTAAATGAACAGAACATTCTGGTCTTTGTTTGGTCCTTTTCCTTTCATCCCTTTCCTTCTACCCCTTACCAGATCTATGCAGCCTTGCATTTACCCTGGTACTTGCTTTTGGGTGAGGAGATACAGAACCTCATAGATGGTCCTGCTGGCTCAGGCTTCTAGCTCAGGGCTCCCTTTCTCTGTTCATGCCCAGGGAAGCCTGTTAAGGGATCAGTACTTGCAGCCACTCTTGAATTAACATTTCTATCAACTGTCTGATCATTCTGTTTTTATGTGGAAGGAGGTGGAGGTGGGAGGAGAGGGAGGAATCTGGGATTCCTGATTCGGGAATTACCTTTGTGCTTAAATTTTCAGTGTGCCCAAATCCTCCCTAGTGGCATTGTGGTAGAGTGGAGAAGATTCTAGATTTCGAGTCAAAGGATCCGAGTTCAAATCCTAGCTGTTTCACTTAGTATTTAGCTGAGCCTGGGCTTCCTCCCCTCCAAATGGGGAGGGGGGATGTTACACGACCTCTTAGACCCCACCAGTTCTAACTTTATGATCCTGTGAGCTAAGAGGCCAAAGTCCTGAGTGCCTGCCCCCTACCCTCCCTCCCCCAGCTCATTCTTCTGAGCCCTCACACCAGCTGCCACCACCAACTACTTGAGTGCTTCCCTGTGTCAAGAACAGACTGTCACTTATCATCAGAATCACTTTATTCTAAGGAAGCATACAAGGGACTCATTTAAGGGAGTCTGACTGTCCCAGCCTCCATACAACTCCTACTTCTCCTCGGCATTATGTGCTGTTCTCTTGATGTAGTCACAGTACATGGTGTACACTGCACCTGTGTGAGAGGAAAGGACAGAGATAGCCCCTTGGGGTCAGAGTACTCATGCCCCCTCCAGCTGGCCAGGAGTTAGAACAGCTTCCAAAACCCCAGAGCTCCACTAGGTCAGAGCCCCTGGGGGTTCTGCTTCCTCTGTCATCTTTCTGCCCCAAGTCACAGCAGCTGCTCTAAACACCTGACTGCTCCGAACCCTTTCTCCTCGTTCTCTGCATCCCTTCCCCCAGCTTCTTAGGACGAAGATGGACCGATGGGGGAGGCCAGGCAACTGGCTATAAACAACCTTACACTTTGCTGCATTTCCCCACCCTACCCACCCTGAGTGGTAAAACAGGCTCTACCTGCCTAGGTGTGAAAGAGGAAATTTATGACGAGTCTGGACCCTGAAGGCTTGTCCATATTTGTGGCTCCTACTGGGAAGCTGCCTTGCCCACAGGATTTGGAGGAGTTTGGTCTCTTGCAGCCCCTGAAGTATCAGGGCATCAAGCTGGGTTTTGGGGGCCCTTGCTTTGATGCCTACTCACCTAACATGATGGCTCCCACGGCACAGGCCTGAGCTGCCACTCGAGTGTGGATCAGGTGTAGAGACATCTTGAGAGGGCCTCGGGCCTTTAGCCGGTAAATGCCGTAAGCTGTCACCACCAGACAGCCCCCCAGGCCTGTGCAAAGAAAGCGTGCCCCCAGGCTGTTAGGACAGAGCCAAAGGGGGCTTCAGTGAACTTCAAGCTTGCCTGACTCTGGACTCTCCCCTCTGTTCCCCCACAACACCCTGCACCTCATCCCCTTAATTCACTTCAGCAAACACACCCTTACATCTTATTCCAGTCACTGCCAGCGCCCCCATGTTGCCTGAGAGCTTCTTCTGATTCTCCATGTTTATTTTTAGGGTGCCCCCCCAGGAACCTGGATCGGTGCTAGCTCCTCTGACCCTTCATATAATTTCACTCTTAGAGTCTGTGTGCCAACCAACCCTGTAGTTTGTGTGCTGGTTTCTCTCTTCCTTCCACCCCCTTGGCAATTCCGTTGTTACTCAGTGTTTCAGTATAACACTCCTTCCTCTTGTCCCTCGGCACCCTCTCTGTCCTTCTGCTTATACTCCTGGTCAACTAGGGGCTGGTTGTTGTTCGGTGGATGGTGTTGGTATGTTCATTATCTGGACCCTAGCCTCCAAGAGCTTGGTTGGCTACTTTCCCCATCCCCATCCCCATCTGCAACTCACCCACAGGTACCAGTGGTGACTCCCTGGTCTTCCTCAGTAACTTATCAGAGACGCCGCCTTCGCCCTCAGGTGGCATCCACCAGTCCTTTTTAGCAGACATGGTCCTGGACCTAGATGCTGGCGCCCCAGCCCTGCCCTGAAAAGACATCTCCCACAATCAGAATCCTTGAAGTTGTCCTTGTTTCTTCCTCTCACCTGACTGTTGGGCTGGAAAAAGAAGGGTTAGACAGCTAAGGCTCCTTACCTCTCATGCTAAGGGCCACCTCTCTGGAAGAATGACCAACAAGTACTTTTCAGTAGATGGCCAAACCACACTATCTGCTATTTTCTGCATTCGACAACTATCTCTCTCTACAGCTCCCTTCTTATGACTTTCTTCTCCCTCTTCATCTTCCTTTCAATGATTTTTTTTTCCCCTGCTCCCCTCCCTCTCCCTCAGCTCCTTCCTTGAGATTGTGATCTCAAGCTGTTTGGAAGAAGTCATTGGAGGGGGTTGGAGAGGGAGGGAGGGCAGAATAGGGAGCTTTATGGATCCCACTGGACCTGAAAGTAGCATGGATAGGGGCCCTTGTGCCAAAGTATCAGAGAGAGAGAGACTCAGCATTTTAATCAGGTATAATTTACATGCTGTTTTGAATATGTTTATACATTGTTTTCTGTCAAAATGAACCAGTTTTCCCCTGCTTCCTATACTTTCACCTTCTACCTTTCCCCCTGCCCCTTTACTCCAGCTTCTCTCCCAATCTTTACTCCCTGCCAAGTGGTGGAAAGAAAGTAAAGTAAAACCAATGTCCCTTGACTTTTTTCTTTTTAACCTCTGCTGGAGTACCCATAGTCTCAGGCAACAGATGCGTGGCTCCCCAGTTCTAACCATCAGAACATCCAACTTTTGATGAATCTGAACCTCTAAAGACCTAGGAGCTGGGGCTGATGCAGATGAACTTTGCCCTTCCAGGGACAATAGAGGGCTGCTCCAGCACAGGGAAACCCTAGCATAGTGGCACGTACCTTAGTGTTGATGGTGAAAGGGAGGACTGTGGATATCTGGGCCTGAGCCTAAGCTGTTCAGAACTGGAGATGAGCTAGTACTTTGGGGTCAGGGGAACAGTGGCTTGGGTTTTATGGAGATTTTGGAGTGAATAAGGGGAGGAGAGTGAAAAGAATGGAACACTAGCCTTAACCCATGCGTGCCCCCCGCCCCCAGCCCAATCTGCTCTGGGAACTCCAGGCCTTGAAAAGTGTTGGGAACAGATGGAAGCAGCAGTGATTAGGAACCTAGGCCATCCTGGTTCATCTTCAGGCACCAATGGACACATAAGGATTACAGCAGAGCCAGCCCACCTCGTACGAAGGGTAAAATGGGAAATGTAATGTGTTTGGGGGAAGGGAAGTGGACAGAATTGACACTGGTTACAGAAGGCCACGTCTCCCAGCCATATGATCTTGGACACGGCACACTAGGCCAGCTGCTCTCAAAACAGCTTCCTGCCCCTGCCTTTCAGTTTCCCACCCTCAGCTGTGCTTCATTAGAACTACTGATGGATCCTAGCCATAGAGCTCTCCTGTGGAGATCCTGGGCAATGTGATGGTCACCTGGGGGGGTCGTGGATTCAGCTGCTGGAGTTAATTACCCTGTGAATAGGGAAAGGGAAAGAAGGGACCTCCTCAGAATCTGATCTCCTCCAGCACTCCTGTTGGCCCATGAGATTTGTTTAGGGAGGAAAAGTAGGAACAGCTGGGACCCTCTCACCTTTCAAAGGAATGCATGGACAGGTTTCAGAAAGCTGGACAGAGCCCAAGGCAGGCATCTGTCAGGATTGGCTATAGAACCTAGGAATCTATAGGAAATGAATATCATCCTTTGTTAGCAAGAGAAGGAAATGGAAAGGTGGATCTTGGAAGCCTACCAATAAAATGATCGTTGAGCATATAAGCCAATAGAGATTTCCTTTTCCACCAGATGCCTTTGTCCCTACCCTTGAATTCCCCAGGTTTCCCTTCTTCCATCTCCAGTCTCTTTGTCTTTGTCCACCAAAAGCCTGATGTTTGTCTCCGAAGCCTAGAAAGAGCCGTCCAACCTGCCCCACCCCCTCCCTAGACCCAACATAAAAAACTGGTAGGCTTACATTTCCAAGCAGGGGACAGGAAGTCAACTGCAGATCTCCTGGGCCTTCTCTCCTCCCCAGGGTCTGTGGGAACTGGCCTCTTTCTTTCTCTCACACTTTCCTCTATCCCTTATTCCCAACTGCATCATCTGGGACCTCGGGAGAGGCTCCAGATGGGGATCCTCCCTCGGGGCTCTGGATCAATAAGAGGGGGACCAGAAAGGTGGAAGGCTTATACCAAGAGGGCCAAGGAAGTGTTGGGGAAGAACACTGGCGGAGAGAACTTTGGACTTTAGACATGGGCTGTTGTGGTCCCAGCTCAGCCCATGGAAAGCAGAGCGAGCCTGGACAAGTCCCCCAACTTTTCTCAATGTCTGTTCCATCTAATGAAGATCAGATGACATCAAGGATATGAGTGCACTTTGTCTGTAGTGCTGTATGCCTGAAAGAGATTGTTATTGTGTAGGGTCAGGTGTTGGAGACTGAGTCACAGAGTGAGGATGTAGGGACAGGTGTGCAGGATAAGGTTGCATCCAAGTAAAAGAATCCAAAACAAAGGACATGGTATTTGTGTGTCCACCAGGGAGAAAACTAAGTATGAAACCCACAAGTCCCTGTTGCTAGTCCAGTGAAGGGTTACTTAAATGAATTTTCACTCCTGCACATTAATATTGGGCGGGGGGACTCAGGAGGGCAGAGGTCAGGTCTTAGACCACCAGATATTAAGAACAAAACTTTTTTTAAAAGAAATTCAGCATTGTTACTTTTAAGAATGTACTTCTTCCCAAGTAAAGATGCTATTTTAACTCACTGATAATCATGTCACAGGGGAGACGGAGAGGGAAGAAACACGCATTTATTAAGCACCTGCTATGTGCCAGGCCCTGTGCTAAGTGATACACAAATATTATCTGATAATGAGTTCACATTGCTGAGAGTATACTGGCATGCCAATGAGCTTTTGTGTCAGGATCCTGTTGTGCAGTTTTCCCAATACAACCTAGGCTGCTCTGCTCCTACTCAGTTTTGGGCCCACATCAGTGTCCATATGCAGTCTGTCCCTGTCCAGGGTATAGGGACCAATGGACTAACACTGTAATAGACAGCCCCATTCAACTATGTCAGAACAGATGGGGAATAGACCCATGATTTTCATTGGTATATTTGGTATATTTTCATTGTATGAAGAAATATCACTCTTCCCCAATACACACACACACACTGTCACATTCTTCTCAACTTAGAGTCATAGTTGCCTGGAACACAGAGAGGTTAAGTGATTTGCCCAGGGTCACACAGCCTAAATATGGCAGAGATAGGAATCTCTGCAATAGGCATTCTTTAGCCCTTTGTTGTAATCTTTTTTTTTTCTTTTCTTCCATGTGTGGACTATTAGAATGGCCTCCTTTGAGTGGCCGTGGATCTCATTATAGTGGTCTTGTTGGTATTCTGGGACTGGATGCAAAAAGCGTGAAAGTCATCTGCAAACAGGACTGTGTGAAGGGCCTAAGTACCTATAAGCAGTCAGTCCTTCTATTTAGACCCTGTGTGGGACAAAGGTGAACAAGTTCAGGAGATGTGTCTTCCTGTTTTATGTCTCACTTGACACAATTAAAGATACTAGTATGGCTGTAAATCATGGAGCATCATGATTTCCACAGGATCAAAATGACAGATGGCCCAGAGGAAAAGGAAAAGATGCACATGGAGGATATAAGTAAGTTGCAATACACTCTTAACAATGACCCGTGTGCTGGAGAAATATGTGATGGCAAAGAAAGTGAGCTGGTTGCAAAATCAGCTGAGGGGTAACATACAAGCTGAGTGTTGTAATGGTGCCCATAGAATGTCAAAAGACCCTGAGGAAGGCTTCAGCATGTTGGATAAATTGTGAGGATTTGGGAGAAGACAGGGACAAATGGGAGGGGGTGAATGAGTTGTAAACTCATAGCAAAATTAGCACTATTGGAGGGAGCACTTGAATGAACTGAACTCATGTACGTATTATATGCAAAGCAGTGTGCTCTCTTATGTATGATAAACATGCTATGGGAAAGCTTGGAGCAGAGGTCATGTCCCCCCCCCATTCCAATACTCTACACCGAACTCCCCTGGAGGAGACACTTGGAATGTGCAGAGGGTGAACAGGACCAGTCAGCTCATTCTCCACCCCCACCCTCCAACCTTGATGATTTAATCCAATTTAGATGTTTACCAGAGGGAGGATACTACTCACCCAACTTGGGACCAGCTAACTCAGGATATGAACTTGGAATAAAATGACACACACACACACACACACACACACACACACACACACTCACTCAATCACACAGAGTTTGGCCAAAGATGGAAAGAATGGAACTGTAAGATGTCAAAAATCTGGCTAGTACTTAAGGGGACACCGGCCACAGAGTGGTTAGAAGTTCCACTGACTAGAGCTAGGGGGATAAAAGAAACCTGGGATGGGGTGAGAGTGGTAAGAGAGTAGAACAGTAGTTTAAAGGGACAGGCAGTGGGAGGACACTGCCAGGAGAAGAGAAAGCTGGGGAATGTAGAATCAAAGTCAGGAACAATTTAGAAAAAAAAAAAAGATTAGAACTGAAGACTTCAGTATAGAAAAGTAGAGGAGTCTGACCAGTCTCTCCCACGGTCACAGACCAGCTTCCTTCTTCGTTGGCCCTAGGAGGTCTTAGTTATTCTAGTGATAGAAGAAAGGGAAGAAAGAAGTAGAAAATCTGTAAGGAACAGATAGGAATAACAAGGTGGCCTTGGTCGGTTCCATTTTTAACTTAACTCATGTTTCTTGGCCCTTCTGCATTGGCTTCCTCCATTATTCAGCCCTTATCACTTCTTAATGGTTGGTGCAGCCAAGCAGGGCTGAGATGGCTGGTGTCAGTATCATCTATGTCACTTGTGCAGTATGTAAGCCCTGTGGAACAGAATGGCCAGACTGGGAGTGTGTGGTGGAGAAAAGAGAGAGATGCACGAGTTCTGCCATGAGCCAAGGTCCCAGGGAAGCACACAAGGGAGAAGGAATGAGTAGGAGCTGGAGGACCCTAGGACTTGGGAGAGGTGGTCCAGCCGGAGGAATGGGAGTAAATACCAGGTTGTACCCAGAGGAAGTTAAGTAAGAAGAAGGGAGAAGAGGAGCCTGGGAAACTACATTCCAGGATGAAGTGACAATGCTGAGAGCCTGGAGGAGATACCTCAAAGGGTCTCATCCTCTCCGGGGCATGAACCCTTCCAAATACTTTGACCTAATATTTCTCCAAGACTATTGCTGAAGGCCACAGGTTTGCACCAGGAACTGTTTTCATGAACCTTTGGATAGGGGATGGGGCCCATCCTATGTATGATTTCCTGGGTTAAGGGAACTTGAACTCCTAGGTGATGCAGGTAGGCACCTTCCCTGAAATGTTAAAAGTCCTAGTTACCTAGAGCACTGAGAGGAGGTCAAGGGACTTGCCTAGGATCACGTAGCTAGAATGTCAGAGATGGGGCTTGACCCCAGGTCTTCCTTGGTTTTGAGGCCAGCACTATACTATACTGCCTCTCGTTGAGTTCTTTTTCAGTTGTGTCTGACTCTTTGTGACTCCATTTGGCGTCTTCTTGGCCAAGATACTGGAGTGATTTTGCTATTTCCTTCTCCGTGTCATTTTACAGATGAGGAAACTGAGGCCAACAGTTTATAATTTGTCCAGGGTCACACAGTAAGTGTCTGAGGCCAGATTTGAACTCAGGAAGATGTCAGACCTGGCACTCTATACACTGTGCCACCTAGTTGCCCATTCCTTCTAGAAATCCTCTAAATGTGAGGTTGCACACAGTACTGGATTCAAGAAACCTAGGCTCTGTTGCCCACTAACTGTATGGGGGGAGGGGGAGAGGGCATAATTGCTTCACCTATCTTGGCCTCAGCCTCTCACCTGTAAAATGGGGCAGGTTGAACTAATGGCCCTGAAGGTCCATTCCAGCTCTAAGATATTATGGCTCTAGGCAGCCCCAGTGGAACCCATGGAGACATTTGAAAAGACATGGCGCTATTATATGAGGTGACTCTAGAATTGACCCGGTGAGTATTAGAACATTAAAGGTACCAGCAATATCAGCGCTGAAGAGGCATGTTGTAGTATGCAAGGGAGGGGATCATTTTTGACCACATGAGAAACTGCAGGACTCCCACCACTTGCCTCTGCTATTTTGTGAATATCGTTTGTTTGCAAAGTTCTCCTTGTTGGCTATCTTTTGATTTATAAAGTGATAGTTGTGCCCAAAAGTTCCCCCATACAGCCACCCTTCCCCCACAAAAATCACCTACCCTCACTGTATCTGTGGCTGCCACATTAACATGCTGGAGGTGACAAGATGTCCTTGTATGAATGAGAGCTCTGACAGATTCCTCACATCAATCAGCCAGCCCCCCACTTCTGGTCCCCTCATCTGCAAGGGCAGAGTGGTCAGGGAAGAGATTTTTTTTTAGGCAATTGGGGTTAAGTGACTTGCTCAGGGTCACACAGCTAGTAAGTGTCAAGTGTTTGGTCTGAGGCCACATTTGAACTCAGGTCCTCCTGACTTCAGGGCTGATGCTGTATAAGAAATTTCATTTTAAAGTCATCTGGAGCTAGATCTAATTGTTGCTCACACTTCTAAGGTGCCTTAAGGTTTACAAAGTTATGAGGTAGGTAATGGCAGGTATTTTTTATTCCTATTTTGCAAATGGGGAAATTGAGGCCCAAAGAGGCAAAGAGAAGAAATTCCCTTAGGTTAGCTGAAATTTGGGACTTCTATACTCCCTTGTCCTGGCTCTGAGACATCCATCTTGGGCAAGTTAACCTGCTCTAGGCAACTCTCAAAGAATGTAAATCACAGAGAAGGTACCTAACTGCATCAGTAGAGGGAGTGTTCTCACCTGGGAGTTCCCTATACTTGCCTATCTTTCCTTGACTGAAAAGTAACCTGATATAGTGGAAAAATTATTGGACTTGAAAGTCAGGAAGGCTTTATAGCTTGTCTAAGACACTGTGTGACACTGGACAAACCACTTAAACTCAGCCTCAGTTTCCCCTTCTATAAAATGGGAAGAACAATAACTGTAGTATTTACATAACTTACTAATCTATGTAAATGTCGGTTATTATTTTTCCACAGATAATCAAAGTGTGTTTGTAAACCGATTCCCTTCATCTGGAGGAGGCAGCCTGCAGCAGACAGGGCTCCTGGCTCCCACCTGGAAGCTTGCCAAGATCCCACATTTTGCTTCTTGCCCCTCAGACAGAAAGGACCCTCTGTGAATGTTCTCCAGCCAGGCAGAGCCCCAGTGTTCGTAATGGAAACAGTGACTGCAATGGAGTCAGTGAGCTGGCCCTGAAATTCCCAAGCCCCAGAGTCCCAGAGAGACTCTTCAGTTCCAGAACTAGCCTTTGATCTTGCTCTGCCTGGAGCCTTGGGTGAATGTGTAGTGATGTGGTTCTCATAACATCGATTCCCCTCCCCCCCAGCCCACAGCTGGAATGCAGAGGGGCCAGTAGTCCCTCCACTGGACGGTGGAAGTTCTTTTTCCAGGCTTCCGGTAGGTGGAACACAGAGAGAGTACTCACACACTCTTCTGGAGAGAACAGCACATAGCTGTGTGTCTGGAGCAATCCACTTACCTATAAAGTACCAGTAAAAAGGGATAAAAAGAAGAGTGAATTATTGCATATTGTAGGGGCTTAGTAAACGTTGAATTAAATTGAATTGAAAGAGACCTGGGCTGGGAAGTTAGAGACCTGGATTCTACTTCTGATTCAGTCACTGACCAGCTGTACTGTGGTCTTTGAACATCTCCCGTGATAGAGAAACCAACTAACTCATGAAGTAGCTTATTCCATTCTTGGAGGCTTATTCTGTTCTAAGGAAATCTGCCTCCCTGTAACTTCCACCCACTGGTCCTAATTCTCCCCTCAAGAGCCACACAGAACAAGTTTTACCCTTCTTTCACATTTTTTTGTTGTTGAGGGTTGGTTTTTTTTTTCAGTCATATCTAACTTTGAGGTTTTCTTGGCAGATAGTGGAGTGGTTTGCCATTTCCTTCTCCAGCTCACTTGACAGATGAGGAAACTGAGGCAAACAGGGTGAAGGTACTTGTCCAGGGCCACACAGCTAATAAGTGTCTGAACTCAGGTCTTCCTGAATCCAGGCCCAGCACTCTATCCATTGCCACCTAGTTGCCCTTCCTTTCACTTTGAAGCCTTCAAGTATTTGAAGTCTCCCATCCTTTCAAATGATCCCTGGGTGACACACTTTTGAATCTTTTCACCTTTCTTGCTATTCTTCTGTGTACCTGCCACAGCTCATTAGTATCCTTCCCCAAAAGACTATGTTCCTATGTGGTCTGATTATATAGAATCACTGACAGATTTGGAAGGGGGACCAACTTGTTACAGGGCCATAAAATTCCATTTCCTTTATTGTACAGATGAGAAAACTGAGGCTGGGAAGAGGGAGGAATTGAGACCTAGGGGAGGTGGGGAAGGGGAGTCTGAGAAAGTTCTCCTCCCCCACCTCCCCTAGGTCTCAATTGGAAGTAACTGTGCTCAATGTCACTCATAGATCTGGAAGGAACCTTAGACCTTAGAAGTCATTTATTCCACCTCTTCATTCTAGGAAAGAGGCAAGTGATTTACCCAAGGTGATGCTGAGACCAGATGTGAATCTCCCAATCCAGCACTCTTGCAACCCACCACCTTAATGGTCTTCAGACCTCCGAAGCATTGATATTCGGGGAAGAGGTAACTTGTTCACAACTGCCTGCTTCCAGCTGAAAAGAGGAATAGGGTTGAAACCGAAGCATCCACGATTCCGCTTAGTTTTTAAGGAAGCACTTCCAAAACAGTAAGGCTTATAACGAGCAGAATGGGCAAGAGTGGAGTTGGGGAAGTTTGGGGTTTTCTTCTGGAAGTCTTTGAACAGACTCAAATCTGGGATTGTTTTGGTGAAGACATATCAGGAAGCAGGGGGCTGGCTGGCTGAGATGACTCTTGCTGAGGGGAGGAGGGGTGCCTTCCAGGGGGAGGAAACTAGGTTAGCAAAATGTCAGGCTCCGGGAGATAAAGACTTGGAAGGGCCCCGGATTCGGGAGCAGGCTAAGTGGCTCTTTTAGACCTTGCTCTAGTGCAGAGTTTGGGACAGAAACTGGAAGACCCCTTCTGCTTTGGAGCCCCCCAGAAGGCGCAGCTTTCGACTCGCACAACACTTGGCTAGGACCCTCAGGAAGCCCACGAGGGACTTCTGGCTCCTGGCACCCCTCCCCCCACCTCTCCCCAGGAATCTAGACCCGGGAAAAGCTCGAGCCCCTGGCCCCCAAGGACCTGGGCTTGGAGATCCCCAGCGCAGGAATGCAGGAGGGCACGCACGCACACACACATTTTGCACGCGTGTGCTGGGTGTGTGGAAGGGGCGTGCCCCCAAGGCTGGGGCACACGCCCCACCGGCTCCGAGGCGCTGGGTCCTGCTTCCCCGCTACTCCGCGGGCAGGACCCCCCCCCTCCAGCGCCCCCGCCCGGCCCCCAGTGCGCAGGCGCCTTGGCGGGTCCGGAGGAGGCGGCGGCGGGTGCAGCCGGCAGGGGCTCGGAGGCTGGAGTGGCGGGCACGGGCCGCGCCCCGAAGACCCCTTACGGCAGAGGAGGCAACCACCCCTGGCAGGGGAGGGACGGCGGTGGGACCATGAGGTGCACATGAGGCGGCCGGCGGCGGCAGGACGGGCCGGGGGCCCGGAGGAGGAGGAGGAGGAGGAGGAAGAGGAGGAGGCGGGGGCTCCGAGGGGCCCCGGGCCGGGTGAGTGGGGGGGGAAGGGCGGGGAGGCGGACTGTGGGGGAAGGGGACTCTGGAGGGCTTGGGGGGCGGGGGGCTGCCAGGGGACATTGGGAGGGGGATGACGGCAAGGGGTCCCTGAAGAGAGGGTGTTCTTGGAGGCAGAGATGGGGTGTCTTGAGAGGACTGGGGGTCCTAGAAGGGAACGTGGGGGTGTCTGAGCCAGGGAAGGGTGGGGGTCCTTGAAGGGGATGTGGGGGTGTCCTGCGAAAGCACGGGGAGTTCTTAAAGGGAGAGATGGGGTGTCCTGAGAGCGGACTGAGGGGTCCCTCAAGGGGGAGATGGGGTGTCCTGAACTAGGGGCTTGGTGAACCTGGCGAAGGGAATCCTTAAAGGGGAAGAGCGCGGGGTCCTGGGGGGGGGTTGGGACTGGAGGCTCCCGACGAGGGGACACTGAGGGATCGGGGAGGAGAGGAGCTCTGGAACCGAGGGTCTTGGGGAGGAAGAGGGGTCCTGGAGGGGGGTCAGGTAGAGGCGGGCCTAAGAGGGAGGGGCCCAGGAGGAGGGAGGAACTAAGAACTGGGGGACCCCTGGAGGGGGGAACCAAAAGCCAGAGGGCCCGGGAGCAGGGGACCGGGGGGCGAGAGGGGGCCTGAAAGCCGAGGGACAGGGAAGGGAGGAGGCCAGGGACCCAGGGGGCAGGGGTGGGGGCGGCTGAGGGGCGGGGAAGGGGCTGGGGAGAAATGGGGGCCCCTTGGGGAAAGGGGACCCGAGAGCTGGGGGCCGGGGAAGAGGAAGAACTGAGGACTTGGGCGGGGGGTCCAAGAAAGGGGAGGAACCAGAAGTGGGGGGGGCCCGGGGCGGGGAGGGGCCGAAAACTGGGGGGGGGCCGGGGGGGGGGGGGGGCGGAAAACGGGCGGCGGGGGGGGTACTGGGGGCCCGGAGGGGCCTCTGAGGAGCGGCGGAGGAGGGAGCTGGGCCCGGCTTCTTCGCAGAGCCCGGAGCTGGACGCGCCGTCCCCTCCCGCTTTGTCCCCCAGCCCCCCGGGCGGGCGGCGGGCGCGCTCGCGGCTGCTGCCCAAATTGGGAGGGAAAAGAAAGGCGGGGGGTGGCCCCGGCTCTGCCGCGACTGCTCTGCCCGGGCGGGCTCTGCCGCCCCCTCCTCCTCCTCCTCCGCGCAGCCGGCCCAGCCCAGTCCTACCCCACGGATGAGCCGGGCGCTGGCGGGGGCCCGGAGGCCCGGGGCCTGAGGGGCGGAGGGGCCCGGCGGCGCTGCCTTGCACTCCCGGAGGGGGAGCTGGCTGCTTTGCTCTCCACGCAGCAGCGCCGCGGGTCCGTTGGAAGCGGCGCGATGGGGGCGCCCGCCTGGTGCCTTTCCCTCGTCTAGCCTTTGTCTCCCGCGCTGGACACCTCCCGATGCACAGGACCCTTGGGTTTTACTTTTGCCTCCCCTCCGCTCGGACCCGGAGCCCGGGAACCGCGTGAGTACGTTTGAGAGACAGAGAGAGACGGAGAGGACTTGGCGGAGGGGGTGATGGTGCGGGAGGAGCTGGGCGGGGGGCGCCGGCAGTCTCCTTCCCCTCCTCTTGCCTTAAAATGGTTGTTTTCTCAGGCTCTTGAAACTTTGGAGGGCTCTGGTCCCCAGCCCACGTAGGAGAGAGGAGAGGAGGAGGCAGGGCTGTTAGCGGGGATTGCCCGGGAGTGTGGAGTTTGGGGCTGCGCGGGGGGTTGGAGCAGGGAGGGAGTCGGGGAGCTTGGGGTGGGGGGTGGGGGGCTTGTCATTGGGATTGGGGGGGCGGGGAGGCGGGAGATTTCAGTTTTACGTGCTGCTGTTGGGGGGAGGGGGGAAGCGTGAGTTTGGATTTGACTGGAGAAGGGCTCCGCTAATCAGAAACTAACAGGACTCCCGTGTGGCTGGTTTGGGTTTCCTCATTTTCTGTTTGGTGGGCATGAGGCATAGACCAGATTGTGGAAGGGTAGGGTAAGTGAAGTTTGAATCCGCCTTTTTAGAGAAAGCCACTCCTGTTTAGGGAGGCTTGAAAGTATTCTGGAAATTGTCCTTTTTGTACACCATCCTACTTTGTGTATGTTCACATGCAATTGAGATAATAGATAAGAAAGAGCTGGGGTGATTATTTTCTTTCTTCCTTCGGTTTTCTTCCTTTCTTTCCTTTCCTTTTTTAATTTCTTTCTTCCTTTCCTTTCCTTCTTTCCTGTTTTTTTCTTTCCTTTTCCTAATTTCTTCCCTTAATTTCTTTCCTTTTTTAACTTCTTTTTTTCTTCCTTTATTTCTTCCTCTTCTTTTTCCTTCCTTTCTTTGCTTTTTCTTTTTTCCTTCTTTCTTTCCTTTCCTATTTTTTTCTCCCTTCTTCCTTTCTTTCCTTTTTCTTTTTTCCTTCCTTCTGTCCTTCCTTTCTTTGCTTTTTCTTTTTTCCCTCCTTTCCTTTCTTATTTTTCTTTTTTCTCCCTTCTTCCTTTCTTTCCTTTTTCTTTTTTCTTCCTTCTTTCCTTTCCTATTTTTCTTTTTTCTCCCTTTATTTCTTCCTTGCCTTCCTTCTGTCCTTGTTTTCTTTCCTTTATTTTCATTTATTCCTTCCTTTTCTTTCTTTCCTTCCTTCTTTCCTGTTCTTGATTTCTGCCTTTCTTTCCTTCTCTTTAATTTCTTTCTTCCTTTCCTTTTTTCTTAATTTTTTTCTTTACTTTTCTCAATTTCTTTCCTTTTTTTCTCTTCGAGTATTCTCTTCTAAGTAGAAAACAATAGTGTGACATGTACACAGTTGCCAGCTTTTTGAAAGAACTAGCAAATTGATGGTTTAAGGATAAAATAATCTTTCTTCTCAAGGTGGTTTTAGTATTTGAAGGACGGGTCTGGAAAAATAAATAGCATCCAACCTCGAACTTGAAATACTGTTAAGTTGCTATAGGTCTGCTGATTATTTCTGAAATTCCACGTTTTTTATCTGCCTTCGTTTTAAATTTCTCAAGTGCTACGTAATGACAGAACCAAATATGAACTAATTCTTCTGGGTAAAAGGTAGAGGTTTTTTAAACAAATGTGCATATTCTGTAACCAGAACTTTAGATGCTGAGCAGGATGTATGGTTCCCTTGGAGAGAGAACTACTTTAGAGGAAGGATATTTTGGAGAACATTTGTAAAAGTTCTATGAAAGTCCTCTTTTAAAAATGTTTCATTTTGTATTGTTTGATTTTACCTATTGATGAATCTACTTAAAGGAATCCATAGCCCTTTTCAAGAGTGTTATAGACAAACCTCTCAGTATTATGAGCTATTTTTTTAAAAAACCAAAAAACTGTTGTTTTATGCTTTTTAGATTTGAAGGAATGTTTGTTCTTAGAGTTATTTTCTGTTCTGTTACTCCCACCCCCAACTCCAATGACAAAACAGGAAAAGGAATTTTAAAGATTCCTCCCTTTTGTCTTATTTGGCCTTTGGAGAAGCTATTGATTTTTAGCCATTAATTTAAGGATTTCTTACTTGAGATGGAATTATATCTGATACTGATCAACATCTCATAGTTGGGGTGCATCCATTAAGTGCTGAAATCTCTTAATATATAGTCTTTATTCTGTTTTAGCTTTGTAGAAATCACCCTTATTGGGGATAAGCTGTAAAGATATTGACGTTCACCCCAGTGTGCCAATCTCAACCCTTACTTAGATCATTCACATTATTAGGAATTTGGATCCTTAAACAGATGGTATGTTGTTTACAATTCAGTCTATCACTCAAACAAGAGATATTTAGTGCCTACTATGTGCCTACTTTTGTTTAAAGTGATAAACCAACTCCAAACCTTTATTCAGAAGTTTGTTTACTGGTCATATTTAGAAATGGGTGTGATGCATTGGAGCTTAATGAATCCAGATTTTTAAGAAGAAATGTGAGAGATGCTTATTTAACATTTCTATATTAATGCTGCTTTTGCTGTACAGAAATGAATCTGTGGCCCCTGATGAAAGAATACCTATTCCTAATAAACATAGGCAAAGAATTTGTTTCTTTATCCTTGACATCTCTTTAAGCTGAAGACCACACCTGGCAGTCAGATTACAGCATATATTTGGCAAACGTTCTTTTAGAATTTAGAGGTTGAACCACTGTCGTCGTCGTCGTCTTCTTATTCAGTTAATTCAAACATAATGTGCATGGAAGCCAGTGTCTGTTTAAATATGTTGTTTGGTTAATGGGAAAATAGGCTCTCTGTCCTTTCCTTCTTCTTCTGTTAAATCTGAGCATTTTTTAGTTTTAACAGAAAATCTCCAGACTAGTCAGGCACAACACTGTCACATTCTGGCACAGGAAGAGTTGTGCCCAGGCTGAGTTGACAAGTCCCCTTTGGCAGTTTGCCCTTTGTGATTCTGGGCTGTGGAGCATATTGCCCACAGAGGTTTCCTGCAGCAAGGACAGGATCCCTTTGTAGATTTCAGTGTGCTCCCCACTTGAGGAAATTTGTGGCATGAACACAAGACCTTGGTGACAGGCTGTTCTCTCTTAGGCATGTAGGATGGATAAATGAAACTACATCCCCAGTCCTTAAAACACCACCAAATTGGGACATCAGCACTGATGATTTTCAAGAGTGGTGATAGGCAGAGCAAGGCAGTACAGGCAAAGAATGTCCAAGATCCTACCGATGCCTCCCTAGTTCTTGAAACAGCTGTAGGCAGAAAAGAGGTCTTTGGTACTTTATCTCGGACTTAACTAGTCATAACAGATGTTTTCTTAACAATTTGGAGTTAAGACACCCAGTTTGAGTCTGAGGCCTGGTTCTGTTACTTAGTACAGGTTTGCTCTTCAGCATTGTTGTTTGTCTAGGTCTCTGTTCCTTCATCCTTAAGAGTAGAGCATTTGGACTTAATTTTATCTTCAAGGTTCTTTCCAGGTCCAGATCCTGTGAATTTACTCACCTTATCTCCGTATGGAAATCATTCAACTCTGAACACTCATTTGGAGATAGTCCTTTGATTTTTGACTTACATTAACCATCTATATCAAGTCTCAGATTTGTAACCATTGAAGTAGAAACTTGAGACAGAATTTTTGAACATGTTGGTGGCCTAACAGTTATAACATATTGGAATTGGAGTTATTTAGCAGATAATTAATAAAATTCCCTGAGGACATACCAGATTAGGTGGAGCTAGGATCTTCTTTGTGCTAGGTGATGTTAGGTGAGAGCAGACTTGGAGTGCTAGAAGCAGTAACAATCCAGACCCGGCTTTTAGCAACCTGCAGAAAAAGAAGCTGGTTATTTGTTACTTTACTAATTAACCAGTTAGGGAGTGAAATTTGTAATGGAGCCACTAGGAGGCACTCCCTTTGGGCAACTACTAAGTGGTGCCCTTGGAGAATATATTCACTGTCTATACACTGATCTTTCCAAAGGCCTCCATAGACCCACTGCTCTCAGAGGGCACTTGACCTCCATAGCACCTGGACACTGGCCCCAGGTTCAATCCAGATCTAAGAACAGGATATCAGATATATACCAAACTTAATAAAATAGGACATCTCATCTCTTCTCCAAAGGTGCTACCATACATTTGGGCAGCCTGCTTGATTAACCAACTTCACATATGAGATGTAGGTAATTGACTTTTTAATTTCCACATGATCAGTTAAAATCCAGGTGTAAAAGAGCTGATATGTAGCAAAACTCTCAAGGAACTGCTTTTCCTGATGATCATTCTAGTCCTCCCAACCACTGTTCCTGAAGAGAAGAATTGGGGAGGGAATTACATGTATAGAACTTAACCAGATTGACTGGGCATGTAATCAAAGAAAATGGGATAGGGGTGTAGCATTAGGGTTTGAGAATTGCATCCGACTTCATCTGGTTGTTTCTGAGGTTTCCCTGCAGTTGCTAGTCCTGTTCAGTCTCTGTTTGGTGTGTATGGTAGTGGGTGGCCTGTCTGTGCCACATTAGCAAAACTTTGGCTTCATCTCTGCTCCAGATCTCTGTCTTGACCACCACAGCCCTCCAAGATTGCCCTAGTTCAAGGGTTCTTGACTTGATCTCTGTGAAATTGTTTTATAAAATATTTTGATAACTGTATTTTGATATAGTTGGTTTCCTTTGTGATCCTGTGTGTTTTATTTAATGCATTAAAAAACTTTATTCTGAGACTGGGTCCATAAACTTCATTTGACTGCTGAAGGGGTCCATGGTGCAAAAGAGATTGAGAACCATGGTCTAATTGGACCACTATGACACCCAACTTGGTTGGTGGCTATGACAAGAACCACAAGGAGCAAGCAGCTTGTGGGCCACCCTGGTTCCATCTGGAACCCCTAGTCTCAGGAACCATTTTGCTCTTGGCCTCATGGAAGGAAAGGAATGGAATGGTAGGCTAGAAGTCTTTTTAAGGGCAAAGAAGAGAAAACTTGAGCAATCTGCAGAAATGTTGACTTAGGTTTCCTACCTTCCTTGGGTCCTAGGTTTCCTCTCCCCCCCACCCCCATGAATTTCCTGGAGGCTTTCAGAACACCTGTTATATTTAGAGAATGCCCTTGGATTACTACTCCTTGTGAATTGAGAAATTCTCCTTCAGCACTTACCAGGACCTGAAGTAATTTTTCTCTTGTTTATGGTCATGAGAATGGAGAAGAGATTTCTGACAATTGCATATTTCCAGCAACTACTGTTTTTTGTTTTGGGGGCTTTCTGCAGTATTGATCTTGTATATTAGGAGAACGTGAGGTGCATAGATACTTGGCTGATTGGTGAATATGGGTCTTCTAACAAGCATAGATTTTGCTCTTGGCTTTCTGAATCAACAGACATTTGGTGGCTTGGGCTTAGGAACAGTAGCTTTCTAACAGACCTCACTGTAGGTCAGTCAATAGACTTTCATTAAACACCTCATGTGTATAGAGCACACACAAGGGCTATGATCACGTGAGCAGGGGCAGGAGGATTGGCACTGCCATATCTGGTCAAGTTGCAGTCAGTATTTTGGAAACTGAACAGTTGATTTGTTTCATCCACAAATGTAGCTCAAATATTAGGTGTCAAGCAGCTGGGGATAGGGAGTAGTCCCTTCTCCCAAGGAACTTGTACATTGTCTGTACAGTGGCATGAGATCTGATTAGAGAAGTCGGTCATTTTCTGCTTGAGTTTCATTGACTCTTAGAGCAATTACTACAGATTTTAAAAGTGTTTTGACGTCCTTAAACACTAAATAAATGCTAAGTGTGGTTGGAAGAATCAAGTTGTAATGTTGAAAGAATTATTTTGGAAGATAATAGTTGACCAGGCAGTTTTCAAAGGAAGAAGTCCAAGCTATCAGTAGCCATATTTTTAAAAATGTTACAAAAATCACTAATAATTAGAAAAATGCCAATTGAAACAACTCCAAGGTTCCTCACACCCATCAGATTGTCAGAAATGCCAAATGTTGGAAGTACTGTGGGACAACAGGCACAATTTGCTGTGAAAATTGGTCTGGTCATTCTGGAAAGCAATTTGGAACCATGTCCCAAAAGTCACTAAACTGTGCATGTTTTTTGACCCAGTGATACCACTACTAGGCCTATATCCCCTATAGAGATTTAAAAAAAAAATAAGAAAAGGAATCACATACAAAAAACATTTATAACAGCTCTTTTTGTAATAGTAAAGAACTGCAGATTAAGGGTCATTAATTGGGGAATGACTGAACAAATGATGGTATTTGAATGTGATGGAAAACTGTTTTGCCATAAGAAATGATGAAAGGAGTGGTTTCTGAGAAACCTAGACTTAACATGAACTGACCCAGAGTGAAGTGAGCAGAACCAGGAGAACAATTTATATTATAGCAACATTGTGAAATACAGTCTTGAAAGCCTTAAGAACTCTCATTAGTGCACAGACCATCCATGATTCTAGAGGACTAGTGAAGAAGCATGTGTATCACTTCCTGATAAAGAGGTGATAGGCTCAAGATGCAGCTGTAGACATATGTTTTCTAACATGGCCAATGTGGGGATTTGTTTTCCTTGATTATATATATATTTGTTATGAGGGATTTTTTCCTTTTTTTCCTGTCCCCCCATTAGTGGGGAGACATGGGAGGGAAAGAAATACTTATGAGTTGAAATAAGGAAAAGTAAAAAAATAATAATAGTAATAGGCATTACATTGAAAAGATGTTGAGAAATTTTATGAGATCTGAGAGGTTAGGCCTTCTGGATTCCATGTTTTATGAACTATAATATTTTGTCACTCATCACAATGGAAATGCACATTGAACAACTGTAAACACTGGATTCAGTAATCCTTTGCTTAACTGTTTCCATCTTGATCCAGCTAACCAAACCATGCCTTATCCTATCAGATTTTCAGTTCTAGTAGGTTGTTGATCCTGTGTGTCCCAGGCTGTTAGTTAAGCATCACATTTTCAATGGAAAATGTTTTGGTGAGAGAAAGCAAATAGTATTTACCTAAAGGAAATCCTCCCTCTTTTATAACAGGGAATCTGTTGTTAGTGTGTTTGGCCTAAATGGTTTGTCCTGACCTCACATTCCAGTTCAGTAGTAGACATTTACATTATCTAAAGTGAAAGCTTTGTGTTACAGGGTGGGCAGGTCAAACATGTGCTCTTCTCAGAGTCAGTCGGAAAGGAGAGCTTCCTTTGTGCTTGGAAAAATCATTGAAAAGGAAAGAAAATGTGGAGTCTGTGATTTTGTTTTGTTTTTCTTACAGATCTGTGTTTTTGGAGGTATAGTATTCAGAGATGAAAAGGGGTTGGCAAAATACGTTTATGATTTGAGGAACGCCCAGGGGTCAGATTGCATTTGAACAGTTTACGTTCTGCTGGACAAATTCACTTAGTTACCAATTGATGGGAATGCTTCATGGAGCGATTAAGATGGACTTGCCATTCTGAAATTCAGGTAAAGTGCCTTTTATTGAATGGAGGGAGCTATGTGTACTTTAGAGGAAACCCGGTGTTTAATTCTATCATTGGAGAAAACAGCAGTCTTTGTGTTAGTGGCCTGTGGTGTGTGGACATGTGGCTGGAATAGAAAGCAAGAAAAGCTTTAGAGATGGTGGTCCTTGGAAAAGAAGTAGAATTGGAATACCTCCTTAGCAGAATTTGAAAGGCTAAAAAAGTTACGTTACTTAATGGTAATTCTATAAAACCATCAATAGCTTAGGGAAATATATACAAATAGAACATTTCTTTAGGGAGATAGGAATTTTTAGTTCGTGTTGAAACATGATAGGCAAATTTTTATCTTATAGAAATTATTAGTGTCTTTTAAATCACAGTTATTTCTGGATATATCCTCATCTCCCCTTCCCTCCATTTCCCTTGAATAATGAAAAGCAGCCAATATAACACCCACATGTCACATTTGCCATGTGTGACTTGCAGCCCTCTTCTCGCTACAGAGGAAGGAAGATGTGTTTCGTCATCTGTCGTCTGGAATCAGTATTGATCATCGAATTTAACCAGCATTCATCTGCCTTTTGGAATTGTTTTCATTTCCATATAGTCATTGTGTTTTTAATGTCCTCATGATTTTGCTTTCTTCGCTCTGTGTTATTTCATACAAATCTTCCAATATTTTGAATATATTATTCAGGACGGTAAATACACCATTACCTTCATATGCCACCCCTTAATCAACCACTCCTCGGTTTATTTCTGGCTTTATTTCAACTTTATTTCTAGCTTTTTGTTAGCAGCAAAAAGTGCTGCTATGAATGTTTTGGTGTCATTGAGGTTGTTCTTTTTTTGTCTTTGGCTTCCCTAGAGTGCCCAATAATGGGGATTGCTGGATCAAAGGGGAGGAACAGTTTAATAACTTTTCTCATGTAATTCTAAATTGTTTTTTGGAGTTATTGGACCAATTTATATCTCTGCCAACAATATTAGTGTGCCTGACTTGCCACAACCCCTCCAAAATGGACTATTTCCATCTTTCATTATCTTTGTCAGTTGGCAGGCATCAGGTAAAATGTCTGTTTTTTTAAATTTGTGTTTCTCTGATTAGCCTTTTGGAGCATTTTTCCAATATGGTTGTTGATAGTTGTCTTTCTTCTTGTGAAAAATTGTTCATATCCTTTGACCACTTTTCTACTGTGTTTTTTATACAGTGGATTATTCGATTGCTTTCTTTGACTCCTTTGAAAGGAAATAGAAGCTAGTGATGAGCCCAGCATCTAGGTGTATAACTCTCTCATGTAAAGGAAAATTGTAAGAGGGTTGACCAATTGTATAAACGGGCAGGTTTTGAAATGTGTTTCCATTCCTCTTCTGTTTCAGATATAAAAGTAACTTCTAGTCAGGGATTTCACTCTATTTCTTGAGAAAATGAGGAGAATGGTGATAATGGCATTACATAGAAAGTTTTCCAGTGCTATTTATTGGATTGTACTTGTAATAGCTTTGATGTAAATAAGAAAATAGATGATTTGTTCATTATAGGTAGATGTGTAGTGAGTTTTTTATGCCTTGAGGAGTAAGTGGAGTAAGCTGCAGTGTTCTCTTTGAATTGGGCAGATCTTAAGATCTAACTACTGATGTTTGAACATTTGTATATTATTGATCTCTGCATTGTGTTACTCAATAGCAGACCTTGGGTAAAAATTACTACAGAAAGAAGGAAAATGGAGATTTTGTGTTTTGTCTTATTGCATATTGTATATTTGAGTCAACAAGATCCTTATTAGTGTGAATAATAAAACTCCTGAAGTGAATGCATTATTTGCATTCGCATTGCATATTTCCATTGAGCTAGATGACCATCTTTTATATAAATATGATTTTGAATAGTGTAAATTCAAACATTTGGAAACACTTTAGAGGATTCATTGTTCACACAGAATTAGACCTAGCTGTATTGTGTCCAGTCCTGTATTCAGAGAAGATGGAAGTAGGAAAAAATACTTCTGTGATCTGAGAAACACTGAGCTTAAAAAAAAATTTCAAAAGTTCATGAATTAAGATTTACATTAAATCATCGCTGTCATAAAATTCATACGGAATGGAATCTAGTATAAGGTGGATCTAACCTTGGATCCTAGCTAAAGGAGAATAATTATTGAATTTTACTGAATTACCAAAAGAATATTGTTATTGAGTAGTTTCACATGTAAAGTAATCCCATGTCATGCAGACTCTAGTTATATTATAGTTTTTATTATTTCCCATATATCTATCAGTAAAACAGCTCTTAAAGAGTTACATGTAAATTTGGTGGATTTTATGTCCCTTACCCACTTTAAGAAACAACAACCCACTTTTAAATTTAAATAGGTAATCTTTTAATTGAAAAGCTGTGTCTGTTTCTTTTATTCTAAATAAGCTTTTTCCACTTTTTCCCATCCATTATAGTTTCTCCTTCTGTTTTCTTCTTCCATACCTAGTTTTCTAGCCTAATTTTGCCTTCAAAAAGAGTATCTGTTTTGATTTTGTATATTGTCAACTTGATCATATTAGAAATAGCCTACATTTGACTTCACTTTGGCATAAGCATGTTCTTTTTTCTATATTCCAGTTGTGAATATTTAGTTTGACCCAAACTTTAGGGTGCTTTGAGTGTCAGTCTTTTGCCCTCTTGTGTTGTGGAAGAAATATCACTTGTAACTCTCTGGGAATGAATGCATTATTTAAGGTTGCCCAAACTTCATCTGGTTCTTAGGCGTTCTTAATGTGTTGAATGAAAATGGAATTTTGCCAGTACATGACACCATAGCTTACCGTAATGCACTTTCCCTCCCCCGTTCATTGACAAAGCTAATTGCAGAATACTTTTTAACTTGATTTTATCCACTGCACATTATACGTGTTTGTCTCTGGAACCTCAATCCATTTTCAGAATCTCTTCTGAAAAAAAAAAAAAACAAAACCCAAAACCTGTTGTCATGTGTTGATTACACAGATTACTGTTTGCCAGTTGGCCAGCTTAGAGGTTTTGCTTAGGAACTGTCACTAGCTGGTTATTAAACATCTATTATCACCTCTCTGGAATTAGCTTTCCCTTAAAACATACATTTAAAATAAAGTTAGGCATTGCAGTCTCTCTAATTGCTTCTTTGCTTCATCACGTTCAGCACTCTCATTCAGGAGTATGAATCATCCGTGGGATTCCTAGAGGGCTATTCAGCTCATGACCTGTAATACCAAGACAGTTAAATTTGAAATACTAGTGGTTAGTCAGAGTTGACTAACTTTGAACTCATGCTACTTCTTTTTTTTTTTATTTAATGTTACACTCCAAACACAGAAGGGTTATTCCTAACATTGGTGGGAATCTGTTTTGTATGATGTTCACAATGCATACTTCATTCATTTCATCATCTCCCCTGTCCCTAAGATTTTTGATAACGTGTCTATACTATCCATTGCTTAGAGGAGCCATGATTTTGTTCATGTTGAAACTCCTCCTTGGTGCGTATTATACTCTTATGCTTTACCAGACAGTTTTCCTGTATTGCTGAGCCTCAACAATGAATACTTTTTAGCCAGCCTAGTGTCTTAAGGCGACCCTTTCCAAACTTAGGTAGGCTGCTGAGCCCCTGCCTAATGCTGTGCCAGCTTGCGTGGGACTTGAGAGAGCTGCTTCTCTTGCTGGCACAGAACCTTTGAGAATTTGTGTACGTTTCCTGGCCATCAGCAGGAAGTCCCAGTGACCTAAAGGATAAGGCACTGGCTCCTAAGCCTGGGATTGTGGGTTTGAGTCCCATCTGGGGTGGAGTGGCCACTCATTTTGGGCTATCAAGGTAGCACAGTGGCTAGAGTACTGGGCCTGGAGTCAGGAAGACTCATCTTCCTGCTTTCAAATCGGGCTTCAGACACTTACTAGTTGTGTGACTCTGGGCAAGTCACTTAACTGTTTGCCTCAGTTTCTTTATCTGTAAAATGAGCTGGAGAAGGAAATGGCAAACCACTCTAATATCTTTACTAAGAAAATCCCAAACAGGGTCACAGAGTCTGAAACGACAGAAACCCCAACAACCAGGCCATCATGAGACATAAGAATAGGATTTTAGTGGAGGATTCATTGACTCTGTAACATATACATATACATATATGTAATATGGGAATAGGGACTGAATCTGTGATTTGTTTCATTGGCATAAGGAATTCCCAGGTGAAGAAACTCCCGTTATCAATGAAGGTAGACACTTTCTCTGAAACCTGTAGTCCTTAGAGAGTTGCCTTGAAAGGTTAAGTGATTTGCTGTGGGGTCACACAGGCAGGACATGTTATATTTGAACCTAGATCTTCCCGGCTTTGAGGCCAATTCAGCATTCACCATGTTACACTGCTTCTCTTATGTGTGTAATAGAGATAGAAAATACTAAATCATTTTTGTTTTGTTTTGGGGAATGACGCCTGAAACAAATTAAGATACCCTTAAATTCTGTAAGACTGTAGTTAGCAATCACTGTTCTAAGATTTGGACATTTCCTGAGTCCTAGGTTTGTCATTTTATAAAGGAGAAATGAAGATCTAGAATTGTAGTGTCATTCTGTTTTGGTCTTGAGCGTTTGGAAGTATAACTAAACTGGAAAATTTTTAAGCTGTTAAAATAGTATTAATACTTAGACATAAAATTTATTTTCAACAATTATACTGGTTCCTGATTTGTTGCATTTATCAAGAATTTAAAAATTGGCCAGAAAATGTATGTAGGAGGAGCCAAGTTACTCTTTTAATTGGTTAAGCTGAAACCTCAAACATTGTTTTACACAAATCTAATTGGAAAGAATTTTTCAAAGCTATAAATAAAAAAGATATATTTGGAATAACAGTGTATTTGTGGTCAGCATTATAGTAAGGGGAATGTAATGGAAAAAATGAGTCAGATAATCTGAATGTATTGTTGGTTCCCACCCCTCAGCCCCAGCTCAGTTGATATAATCTCAGAAAGTAAAGAGC